CATTGGTTCTTAGCTAACTGGTAATGGCCTCTAGACTTTGACCTGCTCCTATTACCACCTCTCGGATGTGGGCTTCTACCTCTCGTTGACAAGGCCTCTCCTGAAGTACTAGCGCAGGAAGTCTCTTTGTCCTTCTTCCTTAAATTATAGTTTGTCAAAGCATTAGTAACTTTACTATATATGATAGAAGATTTCCCGTTCAATGAGGTAAGCACGAATGTATCATACTCCTCATCCGGTAAGGAGCCCAACAGAATAATAGCCTTATACTTGTTGGCCTTTTTGTTTTGATGATGTTTTTACAAATAATTTATAACTAATATTGTTTGTCTAGTTTATATTTTCTTATTCATTCTAGACAAACAATGAGTTGGAGGTTGGATGGATTGAGCCTAAACGATCACATCAAATGGAGGTTGGCGGAATATCGGTATAAAGCAATACAATTCAAGTTCAATTCAAGATCAAGCTTCATCCGCATCCAAGATAAGCTTATTGAAGACCTATTGCTTGGGTATAATTAGTTTAAGTTTTATACTTTGTGTGTTGGTACTTCAAGCTCAATATCATATACACACACATTTTATGAGTTTATCAGTGATGGGTTTTATCCACAAATAAAGTTTTTACAAAAAAATAAATTTATATATATATATATATATATATATATGTGTGTGTGTGTGTGTGTGTGTGTGTGTGTGTGTGTGTGTGTGTGTGTGTGTGTGTGTGTGTTTGTTTGTTTTCATATGGATAAGTTATTTTAGTTTAGTTATATAGATATGAAACAAATATACATTCATATACATATTTATGTGTTTCATATTTATCATTTTGTCAAATGCATATATTGTGTAAAACTTTATTTTTGCATAATATTGAGTTTTAGTTTGTAGACTTCATAACAATATTTTATATCATTTTATTAAGTCTATAAAATCATTTTACAAAGTTTCAAAATTGTGTTTAAGTCAAATGTCAAATTTTCAGATATTTTTACAAAATGATGATATTTTACAAATGATAAGTGCAATTCCAAAAATACTTTTTGTAACATGTGTATTATCATGTTTATAAGCATTCCCCAAAGTTTTACATTTTTTAAAATTTATTTGTTATTTTTAAAAGAGGTTTAAAAATCAGATTTATTATTCTTTTTTGGCTGATAACTTGTTATTAGTCGATTGATGGATTTTATCAGTCAACTGATGAGCTCGTCTAGAAAGTGTATAAGTTTCTGTTTTTGAGACTGATAAACTATCAGTCGACTGATGAGTTTATCAGTCGACTGATGAGTTTATCAGTCGACTGATGAGCTTTTCAGTCAACCGATAAGCTGTGAGCTACCTGTAACGATCATCTCATCAGTCGACTAATATCGTTCATCAGTCGACCGACGGCTTTCCAACGGTTAGTTTTTCCAGAGTTTCAGGTTTCCCTTTTTTTTTCCTTGATTTTCTCTTGGTTTTGAGGCTTGTTCTATGATCCTATATATACCCTATACCCTCTAACTTCTAAGGGTAATTAAGAGAGATTTTAAATAAGTTTAAAGGGTGTTTAAGTTTTGTTTTAGTTTTGTTTCAAGTTTCGGTTTTGTAAAGAAAGTTTCACAAGAGCAAGAAGAGATCATCCATTCCTTGTTTGGGCTTCAACTTCATCTCTCCTACTCTTGTTATATAAAGAAGTTTTTCTTAAACTCAATTCTAACAGTTTATATGTTTAATCTTAATTTCCATAAGCTAGATTTTAATTGAGTTTATAGTTGTTTTATCTCTTTGTTACACACACCCACATTGAGCTTTTAGTATTTTTATACATGGTATATTTGGGGTTGTGAAATTGTAACATTGAGTTGGGCTTTATTGAGTTCTCACCTTGTTTAGAGAACAATCATTTATTGTTGAGCGTTAATTTGTGAGGTTCACTTTGTATTACACAAGTACGCTAAGAAGAGTGTAAAGGTGAGATACGTGTCGGTCCCAAGAGAAGTGATATCGGTAGTAAAGCCTAGTGAGAGGTAGTAATTCCAAACACTTGAGGGAGACAAGTGAGAGGCCAACACTTGAGGTGGTAGTTGTGTAGTTACATTATGAGTGATTGTGAACGTTGATCGGTGAGCGTTGAAAACCGATATTATGTGGTGTAAACGTTTTCGGGTAAGTGTTAAAAACCCGGTGTGATAGTGGATTTCTCCCCGGGAGTAGGGAGCGGAGACGTAGGACGGAAGGTCCGAATTCCGTGATCATTTTCTTGTGTTTGAGTTTATCATTGGCGCATTTACTTTTGTGTTTATCTTATATCGCCATTGTCTATTACTCTTTGTGTATATTTCCCTATCACATTTGTAGTTTGTTTATTTTTACCATTTGTTTATATTGTTTATTCTTGCATATAATTGTTGCATACCTTATTTGCTAGGATAATTTGTTAATAAGTTTTTAATTAGTATTAAATCGAATTTGATTAGCATAAACTCTATTCACCTCCCTTCCTCTCTCTAGGGTTCTTTCCTAGTATCATTGGGGTCTAACAGTACTCATCCGTGATCTTCTCATCCATGTTTTCCAAGTCCGACAACAACTCCGTATAGTTGTTCACATGAACTGCAAGCGAGGTGCCCCTGGACATCTGAAATCTGAATAATCTTTGCAGCAAGTGTAAACGGTTCTCAACAATCTTCGTAAGATACTTATTGTTGAGAATCTCTCATGTCTTCATTACAGACATCACCCAATCACATCATACTTTAACTCTTGTTCCAAATAGGACCTGATCACCCCACAAGCGTTCTTATTCATCTTTTCTCATACCGCCTCTTCATATTTTGGTGGCCTCTCATAGACCATGATGATCTCCTCCAAATTATGAGCATTGAGCACATCATGTACGTCACTCATCCACAAATCAAAATTAATCTTGCCATCATATTTAACCACACTAATCTTGGTATTCTGAAAACCAACTTGAACTATATCTGCCATCTTGTTGCTTTCACCAACTTCTTTACACATACTCACAGACTTCAATTACAAAGAAAGATCCAAACTTTGATAGAATTAAGAAGTTACCCAACTGAACCCTAGATTGGATTCTAAATAGATCTCCTAACCACATGAGGAAAGCAAAATCTTTAACGGCAACTCCACAACGCTATCTCCACCGAAGCCTAGAATTCTAAAAACTAAGCTTCTACAATGAATCTTCCTTCACCCAATGCAAAACCCTAGATCTAAAATCTGAGCTCTGATACTAATTGTTGTGCGCCGTGCAAAAGTGTGCTCGACAACCAAACTAGTCAATGAGCGATGCGAGAAGAGAACCAAACCAAATTACGAGTGTAATTCACCAAAATATGACACAAATCAAACCAAACACAGGAATTTATATGGTTCAGCAATTGCCTACGTCCACGGAGAGAGGATGGAGAGATTTCACTCTATGTATGAGAAATACAACGGGTTACAACTCAAAAAAATCACTCAAATATAACCCTAACCAAAGCTCTCAACTCTCTCACAATCTCTCCCTCTCAAAGTGCTCAAAACAATGCTAATTCTCTTATTAAGAAACCTTAAAAAACGTGTTTCTATTTATAATAAAATACAATCCCAAACATGGTAGGATTCTAAAAACGAGTCTATCACACCCGGGTGTGGCACGCACCACACCCCTAAAAACAGGGCAGATTCTGTCACACCTGGGTGTGGAAGAGACCACATCCCTGACAATAGGGGCAGATTCTGTCACACCTGGGTGTGGCAGACACCACACCCCTACCGAATCTTCATGTTTGCCAATACTTTAAATAATTTTACGTTGTTTTCTACAATTTTCCCCACTCATTCCTTTCCCCTCCTCCTGAACTTCGGAATTTCAAAACACATGTGCCCTTTGCCTAATGATTTAGAGGGGAGGGGGGGAGAAAGTTTAAATAAGAAATCAATAATTTATCACATGGGAAGTGGAATAGGGAGAGGGAAAGGATGAGGAAATGGTTCATTTGAGGTGGGAGGTTATAAAAGAGTAATTATTATTTAGCAAATAGTAATACTAAAGTAAAAATAAATAGTCGTTGAAGTAATTATTAATTAGTGATTACTCTAGACAATAAAGTGGGGCAACAGTTCACCTCCCACTTAACCAGACCCAATAAGAGAACAAAAAAGGATTTTGATTAATGTGAATAAAGGGACTTTGACGAATACTGTTACACCATTGAATTTTTATAAATTATTTGAATGAGAATGTGAATAAAGAGACTTTGATGAATACTCATGCAATTGATGGGCATTTTGAAATGAATTTTAACATTTAGGATGTTATATATGTATACATGGTCATGTACGCATTATGGATATGGAATTCTTAGAGAGGGTAGTTATCACATTTATATTGAGCATTTATGTATATAATCAATTTATGTATGTATGTATGTGGTGATGGATATCTTTAAAAAAATATTTTAACATCCTACAAACTTTTATAATAACTAGTATAGTGCACGCGCGATGCACGTGTAACCACTTTCATGTGTAAGCACAGAGGAGAAAAGCAACAGTTCAAGGGCCTGATAATATGAACTTTGACTGATGTTTATGAAAGCTTTAAGCCCGGTCATCTGTTTATCAATTTCTCAAATCTGGTTGTTGTAACTTTCAGCAATACCAATCACAACAAAGTGAATTACGAATGGAGGGAAACTTTTTCCTTTTAAACTACAATACAAAGTATAATAGCATAGACATCCCGCAGAAAGCATAGATAACTATATACAGAAACTAAAAATGAAAATGAGATGAACCTAGTTTATCATCTGCAGTCGAGGTCATATGCTATTCATCATTGACGAAGAATAATACGATCTTATTAGAGCACCGATGTTGGAGCTACATCATCTCGCTCCAATAGTCCACAAAACCATTGTCATCAAGGTTGGTCGATACGCGAAATTGAAAAATCGATGGGTTTGTCGGTGAAAAAATGATAGATTGTTTCGGCAAGCTATGTTTTACAGGAGAGATATCGGTACTCTTTGTTTTGGTGAATGGATTGTTGAGAAGGAGGCAAAGATGGGGGAGTTATATATTGTGGAATGTAGAGGTTATGATCGATATGGAGGAGATGAAGAGGGTTTTGATTTGAATGAGGAGTTAAAGAAGATTAATAGTGTCGTAATTATTAAATGTGTCTTTTGTGTTTTTAAACCTTGTGTAAACACCTTAAATTCCTCTATTGAGGAAAATCAAACGCAATCCACAAAAGTTTAAACAATATTTAGTACATAATTAAAAGTGCATTTGTTTTGAGTTTTAATTTATTGGTATTATCATAACTGTTATATTTAAATATTGTGATTACCATAAAATAGAAACCATTTATACGACGTTTATGACTTTTAAAATAAAATAATTTGGGAGTTATGAGTATGCATTTAATTGGGGTTATGACTTGCACATTTATGACTTTTAAAATAAAATTATTTGGGAGTTATGAGTATGCATTTAATTGGGGGTTATGCTATGATTTATGTATGGGTACATGGATGCATGTATTTTATGTATTATGAGTATGCATTTAATTGGGAGTTATGCTATGGTTTATGTCTGGATGCATGTATTTTATGTATGTATGTATATGTTTTAAAGGGCATTTTCGAAAGAAATGTTTTAACATCCCAATCCACTTTTATAATAGTATTAGATAATATAAGATTAGGTAAGTTATGGAATTTTTAAGAACCTAAAAAACTAATATTAAATCATATTATTATGATGATGTGCAATTAATTTAATTTAAGACTCATTGAATGAGAATTTGAGATCAATTAAATAAATAAAATAATTAAGGTTGGATTTATCAAATTTGAGAGGGGTAAAAAGGATAATTAAAAATTTTATCGCCCCAATACTCTTATATAGATAGTATAGATAGATAATGAAGATTAATGATTAATGGTGCAGTATGATGGAAGCTGAAAGAGATGAATGACATCGATTGGAATGAACTTGACTAAAAGCGGGTCAATTAGTCCGAAGATTACGCGGAGTTTGAGTTCGTTGGAGTGTGACGTTTTCCGCTCTAAGCCAAGAACAAACGGCTGTGATGTCACTCTTTGTTTTTTAGGATTTCTTGTTCTGCTCTGGTTTTTAGCTGTTCTGCACTAGCTTATTCTACACAAATTGAGCCGATTAAATATTTTAATAGGAACGAATTGATCCACTCTGGGGTCAGTTTAGACTTCAATATATCGACAATTATGTTTACTAGTGTACACCCGAAAATCAGGTTCCTCTGTTTTTTTAAAAGCACTGTATTTTAAACTTATCTTCCTCTAAATTTTAACACATTTGATTTAATTATTGTATGTTTAAAATTAAAAATTATATCTACTTATATATACTTAAAAAATGATCTAAGTTTTAATACATTTGATTTAGAAATCATATCTGTTTCTCTATATTTGAAAAAAAAATCCATATTTTAATATATTTAATTTGCTTTATTATTTATAATACAGTAAATTACTGCACAATGAATAGTAGCTTCAAAGTATAGAGGCTTAGATCTGATTTACTGTTTATGCTACAGTAAATTACTGTATCATAAACAGTAATACTAAGTAATTCGTTATAGCATTTTTTACTGTGACATGAACAATGATTCCTTAGATCCTCAAGTATAGAAGAGTAGATTAATATACAATAAAATTTGAAGTGTGTTTGTACTAACTTTACATTAAGATATAAGATTATAGATCATTAGTAGTATCCAATAGGGCATGGATATCAAGGATCTATATATTAATATATACTAACTGTTTAAATAGATACATACTTATATTAAAATATCATGATCCACGTATATTCTGATATCAAGGATCGCGCGTGCACTATACTAGTTATTATATTAAAAACAAAAGGTATATGATTTGATTAATAAGTAATATATCTTTCCTATTGTTTCATGCTAAATCAATATTTTTCTAACTTCTTATTGTACATATATAGGGGTTAATTAGAGCAGTAGGGGATTATCAACCAGAAGCTGCTCATAGGTTTTGTGTTAGGCATCTGTACCAAAACTTTAAGGAGAGTTTCAAGGTACTTCATTTTATATGAATTCTTACAAAATGAATGCTTTATACGAATGCATGCTTACTCATTATTGTACATTGTCCAGGGGAAGTACTTGAAGGATCAATTGTGGGGAGCTGCTATGGCAACAATGAAAGCTGATTTTGATTCCTACATGGATGCAATCAAGGCTCATAACTCTGAAGCGCGAGAATGGTTGGATGCGAGGCCTGCCCACCAATGGTCCAGACATGCATTTGGTTTGGAGCCAAGTTGTGACATATTGTTGAATAACATAAGCGAGTGCTTTAACTCATGTATAAGGGAGGCAAGGGAGAAGCCTATTATCACTTTGTTGGAGTCCATTAGAAGATATTTGATGCAAAGGTTGGAAAAAAAGAGGAATGAACCTGCATTCCGGAGAAATTTCAAGTTGATGCCTAAAATACAAAAGAAGATTGAGGTAGCAAAAGATGGTCAGAGGTATTGTAAAGCAATTCCTTCAGGGGTTGGAGAAATGGAAGTCCATTGCAACGGAGATCAGTTTACTGTTGATATAAATACCAAAAAATGTAGCTGTTACAAATGGCAGGTCAGTGGAATTCCTTGTTGCCATGCAGTGGCAGTGATTTATGCGATAAGGGCCAACCCTGAAGATTTTGTTGCAGAGTGGTTCACCAAAGAAAAGTATATACATGCTTACACGCCAGTTTTGCATCCAATCAGAGGAATGAGACACTGGCCTCGTTCAAAACTTCAACCTTTGCTGCCACCTATGACGGAAAAGTCTAAGGACAAAGAAAACAATAAGAAGAGGAGAAAAGATCCTGAAGAAGCAATTGCCAAGGGCTCAAAGCTATCAAGAAAGGGTTACACAGTTACCTGTAAAGTCTGCAAGGTGGTCGGACATAACCAAAGAACATGTCCACTCAAGAAAAATGATCGGACAGGAGCAATGGCTGGAGCATATGAAAATGCAAGTAACGAGGTATTCATGGGGTTTAATGTTCCTATTGGACCAGAAGATGAACAATGTGTGACACAAGCAGAGCAACCTCCTTCAAACCCGATAATATCAAGAGGAAGAGCTGGCAAACTTATTTGGAGCAGAATACCAAGAATTTAGCATTTGTCAGTCTCCTTATGAACCTCTAGTGTTTAATTTTTGTGTTATTTATGAACTTTAGTAGATTTTTTTATTTGAATCTTCTTTCTTTGGTCTTTTATGGAGGTTTTTTTGGTTTAAGAATGTGTTTTGAGATTCTGTAACTGGCCAAATCACTCTGTGTCCATGTTTTTGATGCAAGTGACATTAGTTAGAAATTGTTGTGAAAATAGAATTTGCAATGAAGTTTCAACCTCTGATTATGGGTATGCTTCTTTTTCTTATTTCTTTTTTATAAGCTTTTTTTTACTTTGAATTTCACCTATAAGATCCACGTTCAATGCAATTGAATTAAACGATCAAAGCTCAGGAGAAGCGAAGAGAGCGGAATGCTTACAGCACGTGTGTTGGACGTGAACTTTCGCAATATTCCAAGTATACCCTTACTGAAATTTTAATTTTAGTGGTGTTTGGGATTTTAAATCACCAAAGGGCTAAATAGAATCAAAACCAAAACTATAAGGGCTTAACAGAGTCGAAAAATAGTATGAGGGCTTAATAGATTCATACAGCAAACCACAGGGGCTTATCTGAATTTGAGTTCATCGATATTTGATATGTTTACGCATGACCATATAACTAAACTTTGAGCACTTTACAATTCATGTAAAAAATAGTAAATAAATCACTTTTATCGGTCACTATCATGTACAGCCTGATTTCACCAATGCGCCAACCAAATTTACGCACACAAAATAAATTCCATGCATCTCACAAATACATCAAAAGCCTTTCCTAACAAAATCACACCAAAAAAAAAAAGGAAAGAGACAAAAAAAACCAAAAAGAACATAAAAGCCCCGTTCAATTCAACCCGGCCCAATCACAATCCACCACGTGTCAGTCCACTGTATCCAGCCCGTCTTCCGAAATTTCTCCCTCTTTCCTCCTTTCGCCTTCCCTCTTTCCTTCAACAAACCCTCCAAAATACGAAAATAAAAATTCGGACAACTTAACGTGCTCTCTTACCTCCTCTGCACTCCCTCCCATTAAAAACCCAACAAAAAGAAAACCCCAAAGTTTTCAAACCCTAAAGAAAAAAAAAAACAAAACAAAACAAAAAAGAGCCCTTGGAGAAATGCTCGGTCGATGCTTAGGAGAGCGCCGAGTTCGCCAGATCCAGCGAGCTCTCCGCAACGGCAAGCTCACTGTCCTCTGCCTCCTCATGACTTTCATCGTCCTACGTGGCACCATCGGCGCGGGAAATTCGCACGCGCGGAGCAAGACTTCGAGGAGATCCGGCCACGCGCTTCCGCCCTCACGGCTCCCTCCCCCACCGGGCCTCGTCGAGGCCAAACCTCCCTCGATCGATCCTCAAGGCTCCCAGCTCGCGACACGACGACGACGACAGCCGAGATCCATCCGGAACCCTACTCCCTCGCGCCAAGATCTCCGATTGGGACCAGCAGCGATCTCATGTTCCACGCCGCCACACACCGGTCTCACCGCCATTATTCACAGCCGTCAAGCCGCGGGTGCTCCTCGTCACCGGATCCTCCCCCAAACCCTGCGAGAACCCCGTCGGCGATCATTATCTCCTAAAATCCATAAAGAACAAGATCGATTACTGTAGGGTCCACAACATTGAGATCTTTTACAACATGGCGCTGCTCGATGCGGAGATGGCCGGGTTCTGGGCGAAGCTGCCGCTGATCCGGAAGCTTCTGCTTTCGCACCCCGAGGTCGAGTTCCTGTGGTGGATGGACTCCGATGCCATGTTTACCGACATGGCCTTCGAGCTGCCGTGGGAGAGGTACTCAAAGTACAATCTTGTGATGCATGGGTGGGATGAGATGGTTTATAATGATAAGAATTGGATTGGGCTGAACACGGGTAGCTTCTTGCTGAGGAATTGCCAGTGGTCTTTGGATCTTTTGGATGCTTGGGCTCCGATGGGGCCGAAGGGGACCGTTAGGACCGAGGCCGGTAAGGTTCTGACGAAGTTTTTGAAGGATCGGCCAGTGTTTGAAGCTGACGATCAGTCGGCGATGGTTTATTTGCTTGTTACGCAGCAGGATAGGTGGAGGGAGAAGGTTTATTTGGAGAATGCTTATTATCTCCATGGGTACTGGGGGATTTTAGTCGATAGGTACGAGGAGATGATTGAGAATTATCACCCGGGTCTTGGAGATCATAGGTGGCCTTTGGTTACTCACTTTGTGGGTTGTAAGCCTTGTGGGAAATTTGGGGATTATCCGGTGGAGAGGTGTTTGAAGCAGATGGACCGGGCTTTTAATTTCGGGGATAATCAGATATTGCAGATTTATGGGTTTACGCACAAATCGTTGGCGAGTAGGAAGGTGAAGAGGGTTAGGAATGAGACGAGCAATCCACTTGAAGTGCAGGACGAGCTTGGATTGCTGCATCCGGAGTTTAAGAAGGTTCAGGGTACAAATACTGGCTCTTTATGAAGTTAAACGTGTTTGTTCGTTCGTTCGTTCGTTTTAATTTATGATGTTGTTTTTGTTCTTGTTTTTCGAAGTTAGGTGTGATCAGGTTATAGGTATGATTATAACATGATGAAAATCATGAAATTATGATGATGTTCATGAAGTTGGATTTGGGGATGTATGATTGTAGGGGCAGGGTAGTAGTCATTTTCCTTTTGTTCTCTCTCTCTCTCTCTCTCTCTCTCTCTCTCTTTTTTCTCTCTCTCTCTCTCTCTCTCTCTCTCTCTCTCTCTCTCTCTCTCTCTCTCTCTCTCTCTTCTCTCTTTTTGGAAGAAAGTGATTTTTTTTATGTACCTTGGTGTTCTTTGTCACTTAAAAAACTAGCACAATCTTTTTATCGTCAATGAGTTCATTTATTAGAATTTATTTGATTTTGAGCGACAAAAGCTATGTATAAAGATCATTGTTGAGTTATGGTGGCACTTTTTTGTTCTATTGCAATATCTGTCTACTAAATTTGTTGAGTGAATTAGCGACTCTTACATTTTTTGTCATTGTCTGCTGGCATTTACTACAAGTTGTTGTTTGCTATAAAGGCTTATGGTGGCTTAGTGCTGCTTTTGTTTTTTAGTAGTGCCAAACATAGTCGTTACTTTTTTTAGGCGAATACTCTGTGTTTAGCAAGTTTCAGAACAACTCACTGACTTATCGATGTGATTATTGTTGAGAGGCTATTGAAGGGAAAGTCTGATAGAGTGGTAATTAGCTGCTAGAAATAGGTTCTATCGAGTTATGATTGTCTACATATTTCTTTCCTGAAAATCTGCTACAAGATGATCAAGCTTACCTGTTCACTTTATGTAGATGAGAATTAACTAGATGCGAAGTCTTACATTTTGTCATCATGTGATACCATTAACCACTAATTGTTGTTTGCTACAAAGGGGTATGTTGGCTTTACATTAGTTCTGTTTCTTAGTAGTGCCAAACATACTCCTTACTTTTTTGTTTATACACAGTGCTTAGTGAGTTTCAGAACATCTAATTGACCTATCAATGTGATTATTGTTGATAGGTCATCAAATGAATGTCTGATAGAGTGGTAAACTGGTAATAACTACTATACAAAGGTTATATTGATTGTTCACTGATTTCTTTTCTTGATATCTGATACGAGATGTTAAAGCTTACCTTTTCACCTCTAGTGGATGACAATCAACTAGATATGCATAGAAACCAACAGTTTGCACATACACTTGCTCCTGCTTTATTCTTACCTCCATATAAGGTGACTTATTCATCCATGACATCAGTGAGTTGGCTCCATACTTCAGTCTTTAATTCTATTACTGTTTTATGATTTTAAAGATTGTATGAATTGGATTGTTACCTTGATTTTCTCATACGATATCATGTTTATCTGGAGAATAAATTTCTTCATTCTCCTTAGAGTGATTAGGTCTTTCCAGTGACAAGGTTTTGTGAAGACTAAGTAGCTAGTTTGGAGGTGCGATTAAGTAGATAGCTCGGAGGAGAAATAAGATGGCATGAAACACATCCCTAATACTCTTTGTTGATTCCTAAGCTTCATATTATTGTTGCCGCAATCAGGAGAATTTTCATGTCTTACCTTGCTACAATCCTTCAGGATATAAGTTAACATTAGCCATATAGTTAATGCCTAAGAAGATCGCGTTGAAATAACTATTACACTCATATGGATGGTGATAGTTTCTGCGAGCATAATATCTTTACAAGGGCAATATTTGTTTTGAGATGTATTCTGTAAGTGAAGAAGTTTTTAGTCAATTAACCCAGTTGGTCAGATGCCCATTATTTTCAACATTACTCCTTTCAGTTGCTGGGTTGATCAAAGCATACATAGCCTGTCTATTCTTGTGGCGTCTTGTTTCTGTCCAAGTCCTCTTTTTGCTGTTGCCGTTTCTTTATTAACCTATGGAATACTTTGTCAGGCCAGTGGAGATTACCAGTCGAAATGTTTACATTTGTTCGTTGGTCCAGGATAGAACAGGTACTTCTCAGGCACCAAATTATGTAGGTTAATGTGGGTCAGCTGACTCTGAGAAAAAAGAAGCTATGTCTTTGATATAGTGATAATAACGTAAGCCCTTGTGTTTCCACCACACAATCGGATCATTAATTAGGTGGAGAGAATATATCCAAAGCTTTACTTGGAGGTCGACTGGTTAGCTTAGTTGGACATAGCTGAGATGTTATATATGCATTTCCCTAGAAGTGGTGACAAAATTTCAATCGTAGTTTATTAGTTTCTCATAAGATTCTCAATAACCATCCAACTACAAAATGCTAGGTCAGATTCCAATATGAAATTGTGATTGGAGGTATAGGAAGCATATTCAATTGAGTGATGAAAATAGTTGCAAACTCTTTGGGTGGCCTTCGGTTAATCTAATTGTACTGTCAACTGATCTCCTTTGGGTATTTGCTGTTCCTTGTATTCCCTTCTTATTTTTGTCTTCTCACGTTATAAAATAGGTTTGAGGGAAGAAAACTGAACATAGAGATGGAACAGTTTTATCAAATTGGAATGTTCTTCCAGATTGCATTGAAATCCTGTGATAAAACCTTTCGATATAAATAGATTATGGTTCAAGATAATGTATTGCTGGGCACATAAAACTGGATGTGAACCAAGAACATGCATGAAAGTATGATTCAATCTGTATGACTTTAACATGCATTGTCCAGTCCAGTGTTTTTCATGTTTTACATATAAAGACAATCTGACAAGATTTATTCGAATATATATTATATACTTAAGGGAGCTCCTGCTGTCCATTTGATTGCTTATTTCTGTACAAGGGATTATCTGATTGGCTGACGTAACATAGAATGTTTTCTTGTGTTATCCTCCTCAGAGTGTGTCGACTATTAGCTCCCATGCATTCAGGTGTTGGATGGAGGAATCCATAGGTTAACTTGGAAGTTAATTGGTTGCCTTGGTTAGCCATAGCTTTCAGTTGTACATGATAAATAATATGTGCATCTTCCTGCTTGGTGCTTTGATATATGTTACTCTTACCAGTTGAATTTACTTTATTAGAGAATTGAGTATCACGTGAATCCACTAGTTACTGAATTTTGAAGACTAAAAAGAGATTTCAATCCCTTTGATTTGATCATTGGTCAAATGATTTGGCTGAATCAATTGACTAAACGCATTGTATGCTCTTCATGCTTTCCGTGGCTACGTGCACACTACTGACATCTAAGCAGCAACTTTTTTGTAGTAGTCTATTTTGGCTGCTTTTATCCCATTACTGAAATTAATCCATTTTTCAAGTACTAAATGAGCATATCAGAAGTCTTCAGAATAAATATTTTTCTACTCACACGTATGAATCCATAATTCGAGTCAAATGTATGAATCCATAATTCAACAGCTTATATTGTTGCTTGATAACCTTTTTCTCCTAAGGAACTAAAGATCTAAGTTATATGTCTATATCTACATCTACAAGCAAATATGAAGACAATAAGGATGCAAAGGCTGGCTGCCGGGGGGGGAAATTACTTCTTATGGAAGTGCTGAAACTTTGCTCCTGCTTCGTGATTAGATAGTTTGACTGTTCATGATGATACATATCCTAAAACATGTACAAATGAAAATGTATGTCATAATCTAGTATTTTCCTTTGTTTTCTTATAGAAAAACTTATCATTTCCATGTCACTTAGTGCATTAGTGAAGGTCTTCGGCCCTTCCCATCATATGTTTATATTTCATATGAGTTACAGGGCATCGGGTCATCATGTATTATCATCCATGTGAGATGGGGAATCATGTTTTAGAGAAATTGAGCTCAGTATTCAGGCAAGCCATGTGCAGACACATACACAAATATACATTGATACAGTGAATCCATAATGTGTCTAGGCAATACCAGCAAATACCTGTGCCAAATTTGTATATAAGTAGCAAATATTAGTTTTTGACAATTTGACTAACTCTAGTGTTATATGTATGATACTTGTTCTTATTTATACATCGGATGAAAAGATTATGATGGGTCTTGGTTTCCAACTTCTGAATCATCCTATGGAGTTCAATATATCACATCTGACAATCCAATTGAATTTAGTATTATATATATGGTAATCACTGTTATTGATACATTGGAATGAAACATCCTGTTTTATGAATTAGAGAACTTTGGATAAGCCTCTTCCATGGAAAGGAAATTTTATTGATGGGCAGTTGATTTATATAGTTTTCATGTTCTTCGTCAGTGGTGGATGGTATCACAAACAGGGAAGAACTGGAAGTGTAGCTCTCTATTTGTCATTTTTTCATAAAGAATGAGTTTATCAATTCGATCTTATGAAGAAAGGGAAGTTAGATTACACACAATATGAAGCAATATAATGCATGATATAGAACATTCTCAAAAAGTACATTAACATTTAAGGTCCTAAACTCCTAATAATAACATCTAACAGAATTGTGAATGATGTGGCATATTCACAAAAAATTATCAATGTTGAAGGTCTTACCAATGATATCTATTGATTGGGGTTTTTTGTTTTATAAAAAAATTGATTTGGTATGAGCTCTTACTTTGTTGTAGGCAGAATTCGATTAATGATCTTTTAGCATTCTATTATCTGAATCTTCATATTCTCATGTAGTTCTTTCAATTATACTTTCACAGTTCTTTTCAATGCATGTTTCTATATATTACCTTAGCCTTTTCCATTTTGTTTATGTGAAAATTTGTTTACGAGTTGTACTCTCGAGAGCAGTAGCTGTAAACCCCACCAAAATGAAAAATAAGTTGCTTTGTTATTTTTAAGACTTTCTAACAATCAGGAATTTAGTTCGGCTAAATTATATCCTGTGCATTTCTACTTTGTTTTGTTTTGAATGCTTAGGAATAATACACTGTCTTATGTTACTTGCCTTTGCGTATATTTCGACATCGTTTGTGTGTTCTTTTTTATTTGGAGGTTGGATGATTGAAACCTATCTCCTTCTGACATACTTTGGTACCCGTCTCTGGAACTTGTTCTGTTAGCTTCAGTGACGCATCTGACATTAGAACTCAATTAGGGCTTCCTTGACTAAAGTATTGTGATTGAGTAAACGAATATTCTTTATAAGGATAATTATGGTTACTGGCGACATTGCAGGTGATGATAAAACATGAAAAGGGGATTTTAGTGATTCTATAGCTAGACTACAGGGAGTGATCTTTGTCATGTGAGCTCCGGAATACATAACGCTTGAAAGTATCACAAGGGCATTTAAATGACTAGAGCCGTAGATCTAGCTGTGAGTAATACAATGAGATGAATAATTGGAGAGTGACAAAACCAGGACATATGCATATAAACAGTGCATAGTAGCTAAATACAACCTTTTGTTATGCACAACAAATATTAGAAAGTAGAGACTTTTGATGGTAGAAACGTAACTTCAGAATATGACCAAGA